AAAGGGGTAAAAAGTGAGGTGGCAAAGGTTGCAGATGATACTAAACTGCTCAAGATAGTTAAGACCAAAGCAGACTGTGAAGAACTTCAAAAAGATCTCACAAAACTAAGTGATTGGGCAACAAAATGGCAAATGAAATTTAATGTGGATAAATGTAAAGTAATGCACATTGGGAAAAATAACCCCAACCATACATACAATATGATGGGGGCTAATTTAGCTACAACTAATCAGGAAAAAGATCTTGGAATCATCTTCGATAGTTCTCTGAAGACATCCATGCAGTGTGCAGCGGCAGTCAAAAAAGCGAACAGAATGTTAGGAATCATTAAAAAAGGGACAGAGAATAAGATGGTGAATATCTTATTGCCCTTATATAAATCCATGGTACACCCACATCTTGAATACTGCGTACAGATGTGGTCTCCTCATCTCAAAAAAGATATACTGGCATTAGAAAAGGTTCAGAGAAGGGCAACAAAAATGATTAGGGGTTTGGAACGGGTCCCATATGAGGAGAGATTAAAGATGCTAGGACTTTTCAGCTTGTAAAAGAGGAGACTAAGGGGGGGGATATAATAGAGGTATATAAAATCATGAGTGATGTGGAGAAAGTGAATAAGGAAAAGTTATTTACTTGTTCCCATAATATAAGAACTAGGGGCCACCAAATGAAATTAATGGGCAGCAGGTTTAAAACAAATATAAGGAAGTTCTTCTTCACACCGCGCACAGTCAACTTGTGGAACTCCTTGCCTGAGGAGGTTGTGATGGCTAGGACTATAACAGTGTTTAAAAGAGAAGTGGATAAATTCATGGAGGTTAAGTCCATTAATGGCTATTAGCCAGGATAGGTAAGGAATGGTGTCCCTAGCCTTTGTCTGTCAGAGGGTGGTGATGGGCGGCAGGAGAGAGATCACTTGATCATTTCCTGTTAGGTTCACTCCCTCTGGGGCACCTGGTGTTGGCCACTGTTGGTAGACAGGATACTGGGCTGGATAGGACCTTTGGTCTGACCCAGTATGGCCATTCTTATGTTCTTATGGTATGCCTTAAAGTCTTCCTGGATAGAAGGGGAGGACGAACCCAGCAACACAGGATCATCCAGCGACAAGGATGAATGTCTTGGCTGAACCAAAACTCGTTCTCGCTCCCTGGAAGATGTACCTGGGAGGACTTCCTTCTGGGTAGGAAGAGGACTGATTCCTGGGGTTGTGGCTGATCCAGAGCCATCACCATTGACCTGGCAGGTGACTTCTCTTTTCAGCAGGATCTCCCTGACCAAGAAGCATCCCACTGAGTCCAAGGCCACTGATACAAGTAGTGCAATGGTGGCTAGTAGGGGCCAGGCCAGGGACTTCCTTCCTGGCCATAGAGCAGATGCCAACCCTGGGGGCCATACTGGTCCACTGTTCATCGGCCCCCAGCGTTCATCAGAGTGGGATAGACGACGATTCCACCCCAGAATCAGAGCCCTGGGATCTTGGCTACACAGGCAGAGCGATGCACAGAGGAGCCAATAGGTGGTCCGATTCATCCATTGCCCAGAATGTGGTGGGAATCAGTGCCCCTGATGAAGGTGGTACTGTCAGTACCGAGCATGCCTGAGACACAAACAGTGTCGGTCACAGTGCAAACGTCGGTATCAGAGTACCCAAATGCACAGACGCTGAAAGGGGGCAGAGCTGCCAAGGGTGCATTTGCGGCTTCGAATGGGCAGGGCCAAAGTGGGTCCCAGTGCTGAGGTCCCCCACACTGATTCCAGTACCAGTTCCATCCCTACCAGAGGAGTGTCTGGATACCGTGCTGACAGAAATGAGGGTTCAGCGGCTCACTCCATTGGAGGTGCATAGGGGGCACAGCCCTGGGTGTTGGGACCGAAAGGCAGAGGAGGTCTGCGGCTGCCTGGTATGCCAATGACATGGACACGACTGGTACTGGCAACTCCCTCAATAGACATCCAGAGGCTGGGACCAGAGTCAATGGTACAGGGTTTCTGCACTTTTCATTCAGTACTAGGGAAGGGTCAGAGGTACCTGTGCTATCCCATGCCCCAGAACCGGCCCCAGGCCAATCCATGCTTTTCCCAGAGGCAGCAGAGGAGTCACCCTGTGTCCTGGAGCGGTTCCGATTGGTCTTATGAGAGCTCTTCTTTGGCGCTGATGACAGAACGGCTCTTCCGTTTCTTTGGCGAGGTGCCTGCCTCAGCCGGAGGGTGATCTTTGGCCAAGGAGGGCCTCAGGACGGGATCAGACTGCATGGCCTGTTCAAGTAGATGCCGCTTGAGGTGAAGGTCTCACACCACCTGAGTTCGCTTTTTAAAAAATTTACAAACCAAACAGTGCTCCTTAAGGTGTGCCTTGCTGAAACAAAGCAAGCACTACATATGGGGGTCGCCCATCCATACAAAGGACAGTGTTTGAACCCCAGTGAGGACATCACCAGGGAACACTAACTATCCACTAACACTATCTAACTGTTAACACTAACTATATACAAAAATAAAGTTAGGTCAACATATCTACATTGGTCAGGGGGTGAAAAACAAACAAACAAACATGCTCCTGAGTGCTGTAGCTATGCCAACCTAACCTCCAATGTAGATACAACTACATCCCCAGAAGAATGCTTCCTTCGACATAGCTACCATTGCCTGGGGAGTTGGTGTTCCTACGCCAATGGAAAAATCCCTTTCGCCTGCATACGCTGACAGCAACCTAGCTATCCCAGTATAGTCTCCGTAGTGTCAACATACGGACCCTGAACTAACCACAAAGGAAACATTCTGAAGTCAATGGAGTCATCCTATTTAAGATCTGATCCCAAATCTCTGTGAGTTAGTCTTATGCACACTCAAATTAAAAAAAGGGTATAAAATTATTAGAATACATTTCTCCAGGAATGCAATATATACTGCTTCCTATACGCAACAAAATGCAAGGAAAATGGCCTGCGGAGTTCTCACAGCTGTGAAAGATGGTCAACTGCCATTTAGATTTCATTAGAGTGAGATACCTACTAGGCCTTATTTAAAGCCACAGGTGTAATGGGACCAGACTTTCATCCCCTGCATATGTGGCATCAACCTTCCCACTAGCCCGTGTCTACATACATACATACTAGGAGTCTGGTGGCACCTTAAAGACTAACAGATTTATTTGGGCATAAGCTTTCGTGAGTAAAAACCTCACTTCTTCGGATGCCCAAATAAATACTGTTAGTCTTTAAGGTGCCACCAGACTCCTTGTTGT